GTGGAACCAACCAAGACTGAACACTAGCCCCATTTTGTAGACGGGTTGGGACCGGCCTTCTATCCCGGTGAACAATGTTCCACTGATTAGGCGGGGACAGGATTCGAACCTGCAATCTTCAGGTCATGAGCCTGATGAGTTGACCAATTCCTCTACCCCGCTTCTTCCCCTTCTCTTTCGAACTCCGAAAACCAAGGTTCGACTTGCATGTGTTAAGCATATAGTCTGAGTAGCATGATTGGAGCTTCTTAGCGCTTAGGCCACTACCTAAAAGTAAGCTTTTCGCTCTTTTCCTCTTACATAACTTAGATGGAGGAGATAGTAAGCAAGACTTTCTACGCAACGATTTCTTCTTCTCTTATGATTTATCAAGTTACAGGGGGGAGACCAAAAAAGGAGAGTAGATTGGTTGGTTTTTCCAGTCAAATATAGTTGATAATCCCATTTTCTAATATGAATTTGAATAGATTCTCTTTATTATTATAAATATAGCTTTTTTATCTTCCACCTTATCTCCACAACTTTGGGAGACCCCTTCCCCTTCCTCTTTTTTTTATTTCAAGCATGGACCTTAACTTAAAGTAGAAATCATTAGCTGTCAACTGTTCATAGTCAGCAGTGGAATAGGGCGTAGCTTTTATTACTCAAGTTGCCCTCTCATGGTAAAATGTGAAAAAGAATTGCTTTTATTTAGCAACAGTCTTATAAGGATGATGCTTCCCCTGTGCCTTATCAATAATTAATAAGGAAGACCGGGCTAAAGGTAACTACTTTTTGCTCACCCGGTGAAAGGCATAGTAGGTAAAAAGTCTATTGGTTGCTTTACTTCCTTACCTCGGGTAGGTTGAAAACGTTGCTAAGAAGAAAAGTTTTCTTTTCTCTTGCGACCTTCCACGCCAAGGAAGGTTGAAGGGATCGATCCCAATAGCCTTTCACAAGGGGAAAGACCCATTCTTTATAGCCGTTACGAAAGCTCCCGAAGAGAAAGAGGTCTTTGCTGCTTGACTGCGTGAACCAGGTCTAAGTCTTGCATTTGGCATTCCCGCTGTTGACGTCCCATCGAGTTAGCTAGTTAAGGGTGAAAGGGATTTAGGAATGAATAGCAGGAAAAGTCCTTGCTAGGAATTCTGGGTAACTTTCTGTATTCCTTAAGGTTACAGGTGAAGCTGACTTCCTGCGGTAGCCCCTTCTGTATTCCAGGTACCTACTCACATGAGGCTATCGGAGAAGGTGAGCGTGAGGCAAACGCACAGGCGGATGGTTGATTTGTGGCTAACGGCAGTGAAAGTGGTGGCAGCGCGTGGAAGGCCAGAATTGATTCACTGGGTGCAGCAGAGTAGCCCCGACATTGGTTGGTGTTTGCAAAGGCCGGTGGGAGTTGGAAGGAAGAACGTCAGTCTTTGCGACCTCGGGTGCGCACCAAGTCGAATTTCCAAGTTCTATTCTCGGGAGTTAGTACTTCCCGCTTTCCTATTTCTTTTCTCTGTGCTAGTTAAATTGTTGTTATTTTAGCTCGCATTAGTTAATCATACTATTAGCGTGCCTGTAGTTACAACTTGTTTTCTTCTAGTTTGGTCCGTTGCCTATTTTTTGTTAGCAATTTCCTTAGTATGTCGTAGGTATAGTGGNGGGGACAGGGGGTGGTACGGGAGGCAAGGGGGGTAAAGGGAACAAGAGAGCCTATAGGTTGAGAAATGGGTCTTGGAACATAGGTACATTGACGAGTAAGTCTATAGAGTTGGAGAAGATTCTCCAAAAGAAGAAATTCAGTATAGCTTGTGTCCAGGAGACTAGGTGGGCAAGATCGAAGGCAAGAGATACGGATAGGTATAAGGTGTGGTATTCTAGAGTCATGAAGGGTAAGAATGGAGTGGGCCTTTTGGTGGATAGGGAACTTAGAGAGTTTGTGGTAGAGTTTAGGCGGGTGAATGATAGATTAATGTCTATTAAGTTAGTGGTTGGAGAGTGCACCCTAAATATCATTAGCGCTTACGCGCCACAAGCATGCTTGGATGAGGAGGTTAAGAGGCTCTTCTGGGAGGGGTTGGATGAGATTGTGCGTAGTATTTCGCCTGCATAGAGGTTATTTATCAAAGGGGATTTCAATGGTCATATTGGGTTGACTGCTGGTGGCTATGGCGAGGTGCATGACGGCTTTGGCTTTGGGGATAGGAACGGAGGAGGTACTTCTCTATTGGATTTCGCTAAGGCATTTGAGCTGGTGATTGCGAACTCTAGTTTCCCAAAGAGGGAGGAGATTTAGTCACTTTTCAAAGTACGGTGGCGAAGACTCAGATTGATTATCTCCTTCTCAGGATGTGTGATAGAGGGCTGTGTAAGGTTTGCAAGGTTATCCTAGGTGAGACCCTCGCGATGCAGCATAGGCTCTTGGTGATGGACGTCGGTATCATGATAAAGAGGAAGAAGAGGATCGTACGAGGACGGTCGAGGATCAGGTGGGGAGCCCTGACTAAGGATAAAGCTCAGGAGTTGGAGGGGAGGTCGTCGGCTATGGGAGCCTGGAGGACTAGTGAGGACGCGAGGGCTATGTGGACAACGACAATGAACTGTATAAGGGAGGTGGCGAGAGAGGTGTTAGGGGTCTCGAAGGGTTACTCTAGCGGGCACAAAGGTGACTGGTGGTGGAATGATATGGTCCAAGGTAAAGTGGAAGCGAAGAACGCGACGTACCTGAAGTTAGTAGGGAGTACAGGCGAGAAGGAGAGGAGAGTGAACAGGGACAGGTATAAGATAGCTAGGAAGGAGGCGAAGTTGGCAGTCACGGAGGGTAAGACTGCAGCATTTGGTCATCTATACGAGAAAATAGGGAACAAAGGCGGGGATAAGAAGTTATTCCGGCTGGCCAAGACGAGAGAGAGGAAGGCTCGGGATCTGGACCAAGTGAGGTGCATCAAAGACGAAGATGGTAGAGTTTTGATGGGAAAGGCTCAAATCAAGCAGAGATGGAAGACCTACTTTCATAAATTTCTAAATGAAGAGGGAGACAGGGATATTGTGCTAGGTGAATTGGAGCATTTCGAGGATCACCGAGACTTTAGGTATTGTAGGTGCATTAAGGTTGAGGAGGTCGTGAGGGCTATGCGTAAGATGAGTAGGGGCAGAGCAACCGGGCCATACGAAATTCTAGTAAAATTCCGGAGGTATATGGATAGAGCAGGCTTGGAGTGCCTGACTGGGCTATTTAATGTTAAAATGAAGAGGATGCCGAATGAGTGGAGGTGGAGTACGGTGGTACCGTTGTACAAGAACAAAGGTGATATCCAGAGTTGCAACAACTATAGGGGTATCAAGTTACTAAGTCATACTATGAAAGTGAAGGAGAGGGTGGTGGAAGTAAGGGTGAGGAGGACAGTGTCTATATCCGACAATCAGTTCGGGTGCATGCCGGGTCGTTCGACTACGAAAGTGATCCACCTTATTAGGAAGTTGGTGGAACAGCACAAGGATAGGAAGCAGGATCTGCACATGGTGTTTATTGACCTGGAGAAAGCGTATGACAAGGTCCCTAGGGAGGTTCTTTGGAGATGATTGGAGGCCAAAGGTGTGCAGGTTGCTTACACTAGAGCGATTAAGGACATGTATAATGGCGCTAAGACTCGGGTTAGGACTGTGTGAGGCGATTCGGAGCACTTTTTGGTTGTTATGGGATTACACCAAGGATCTGCGCTCAGCCCGTTCTTATTTGCTCTGGTGATAGACGCACTGACACACCATATTCAAGGGGAGGTCCCATGATGTATGTTGTTCGCTGATGATATTATTCTTATTGATGAGATGCGAGGCAGCATTAACGAGAGGCTGGAGGTTTGGAGACAAGCCCTTGAGTCTAAGGGTTTCAAGTTGAGTAAGACTAAGACAGAATACCTGAAGCAGAAGTTCAACGCTGAGTCGAGGGAAGCAGGCTTAGACGTGAGGCTTGGATCACAGGTCATCCCCAAGAGATGCAGTTTCAAGTACCTTGGGTCGGTTATCTAGGGGGATAGGGAGATCGACAAGGATGTCACACACTATATAGGGGTAGGATAAATGAAATAGAGGTTAACATCTGGAGCCCTGTGTGACAAGATAGTACCACCGATACTCAAAAGTAAGTTTTATAGAGTGGTGGTTAGACCGGCTATGTTTTATAGGGTAGAGTGTTGGCCAGTTAAGAACTCACATATCCAGAAGATAAAAGTAGCAGAAATGAGGATATTGAGGTGGATGTGCAGGCACACTAGGATGGATAAGATTAGGAATGAAGATATTCGGGAGAATGTGGGTATGGCTCCTATGGATGACAAGATGCGGAAAGCGAGGCTTAGATGGTTCGAACACGTGCAAAAGAGAAGCCCAAATGCCCCGGTCAGGAGGTGTGAGCAGTTGGCTTTGGCGGGTTCGAGAAGAGGGAGAGGGCAGCCTAAGAAGTATTGGAGAGGGATGATCAGGTAGTACATGGCGTGACTTTAGATTTTTGAGAACATGGCCCTTGATAAGAAGGTGTGGAGATTGAGAATTGGGGTGGTAGGTTAGGAGGTAGCTGAGCATTTTTCTATTTCGTAACGGGTGTGAGGCTAGTCCGATTAGGTATTGTCTTAGGCTGCTAGCGAGTATTATTGTGTTCACACTATCCTTCCGTTTTTCGTAGTACCAGATTATTTTTTCATCTATTTTCTAGTTCTTATGATGTTGCTATTATTCTTATGGTTTCTATTGATGGTACTAATATATTTTTTCTTTTCGTCTTCTTGAGCCGAGTATCTATCGAAAACAGCCTCTCTACTCTTCGGAGTAGGGGTAAGGTCTNACTAAAAGATTTCAGCATTAAGAAATTACTATTATATAGAAGTGGGAGTGAAATGGGACGAACACGGGTAAAGTGGTAATTATGAATGTTCGTCATGTGCATTTTTTTTATTTCACTCTTCAATATCAGCCATTTCATTCTCCTCATTTTCCTGACACGTGTTGGTCTTTATTTTTTTATCTCCCACTTCCATTTTTTGACTTCAATATCAGCCATCTCGCTGATTTCCTTCTTCTTCAATGCTCTCTTCTTCTTCTTCTTCTTCTCTGGTTTTTCCCTCTTCTTAATTTTGTTGTTCTTTTCATTTTGGTTCTTGAAAAACTATGAGCTTTGTTTCACGATTCTTTTTCTATATGTATTCTTGGTCCGTCTGATGTTACAGATTTCTGAAGTATTTCATGTGAGTAATTTCTTTTACTTTATGAAAAATTGATATTTTAACCTAAGATTTTAAATTCGAGTTTTACGAATTCAATGTGACCAAGCAATTGAAAGACACGTTGGGGTTTTTGGAGTGCAGGAGGAATAAACGGGTGAAGGTTGCAAGGAAGCTGCTTCATAGTGATCTATGGGCGGCTTATATTGATAGGTAATGAATGAATATTTCTTCCTGAGAAAACTAATAGGAACTTTTTATGGGCTCTTTTAATTTTTTATATCAATTATCATGATTTTTGTTAATTGGTAATAAGTGGATTGTAATTACGAGTTTCAGATACATTGGTATTTCATTTATAAGGAAATGGTTTCAGGATGATAACCTCCTAAACATGCTTCATATAACTTTTTTTTGAATGTTAGTTTGGTTTCTACTTTCATCCTGTCTGGTTCGTATCTTGCGTACTTATGAATATTTTTTTTGATTTATCACTGGTTTGCATTTACAGTATCTAAGATTCCATAGATATTGTCAGTTCAATTCTTCTCCCCTTTCTTCTACTGTTCTTAACTTTATTGTTTCTTTGTTCGCATTTCTCCCTCTATTTGGCATAAAGCTTTCTTTAAATGTGTGAGTTTTATTTGGTCAATGTTTAAACATAGATCTACACTGATACTCAGGCCAACTAAATTCTTCAAAAAATTAAAAAGAAAACAAAATATGTAAGATAAACAGGGTAAATTGTCCTTACAGAACTAAAAAGACCTACATTTTTAGTTTTAGTTGTTAATTCCCTCGACTGGCAAACTGCGGCCTCTTCAGTTATAATAACATGAAAGGACATAAGGGTGTTGTTGCTATCTCTAAACTTGTGAAGCACTCTTCAATGTTAGAGGATTTCAGGTGTTCATCTACAATGATTGGATCTGATGAAGATAAGGGTGTTGTATACTCTATTTCTCATTTGAAGTATGCACCAACTTAAAGGAGCTTGATTGGCATGACAAGATGTTTATTGAGGAAGCATAAATTGTGTTGAGCAAAGTCATATCAACTCTATTTTTCAAACTTAACTGAAATCCAGCCGAGTCACCTGAATTTGGGAGGATAAGGACTCCACCTTAATAAATTTGTTTCATCCCTGAAGTTCTAGAAGACATCACCATCAAACCTGCTCTTGCTTTGGCCACCTGTATAACTGCAAAATAATTTCTTACCAAGTTGAACTTTGCAAAGAATGAATTGAAAGATGAGGGTGCTGTCTTAATTGCAAAGGCATTAAAAGATTTAAGATTTCCTCGGATAGGGCAGAAATGAAAAGTTAATTGCTAGACTTTCCAGATTAATGACATTGTGTGTTCCTACTTCCTTTTTCTACCATTTTTGAGCATAAAAAAATTATAGGAACATGTTTGTGATCCTCTTTAGATTACAGTCATATTCTGAAATATAAATTCACTAGAATAGGAGAACCATCTTAACTGATTAAACTTTTGTTAAGAATGTGTTGGTTCCCCAAGTACACGTAAGTATACGTGGCCGTCAAGTAATAAAGTGACTCGAAAGTCGGATGTCGAATCCAGAGAGACTTAGATTAACCGTTAACTAAGCAACCTAAATTAATTTACTGTCCAAGATGATCTAAAGTTTAACTTTTCTATTACAACTACTATTGCAAAATTTAAACACGTAACCCAAGGGAGATATAGATTCCAGGGTTGTGGTCGGTTTATCAATCCTATTGAGTTCGTAATTACACCGGTTAATCCAAATTATCTATGATTGCTAGTTGACCGGATCGTTTATATAAATATTTTGTTCCCACAATACTATCTGTCTATACATAATATATCAACCCTATATTCCTATGGTCTTGAATCTATCATGAATGAATATAATACGGTATTCAACTAAGCAAGACTGTTAGGTATTCCTATCCTAACCACGAAATCTTTCTCCGAGCTACGGGTTTAGAAACAAGCTCTCTCCAATTTTACTCTAATCTAAGCACGGCTTTCCCAAGCATAGCATAGATAGTAAATAGAACTCAACTGCTGGCCAAACAATTAAGAAATTATGCACAGAATTAGAGAAACAACCAAAGATGATAAATCGAATTAACGGCAATATAATTAATAAACTTCAATATTCATGACAACTACAACCCTAGAACGTGAAGTTTATCTCTACATAGACATTGTAGCAAAACAATAAATCATCAAAAAAAAGTAAAGATTACTAAGTTTGATGGAAGAAAGATGGAATTTGATGAATTCTGGCCTCCACGGCGGCTCCGTGCTCTCCCTTTGTCTAAAGTCTGTCCAAAATTGTCCTCTCCCTTAAACAATGGTGTTTAATGACTATTTATATATGTAGGGAAAAAACTTAGACGAAATAAGCAAGTCCAAAACCAAAAAGGAGACAAAATAGGCTTGAGACCCGGACCACGCGTCGCCACGCAAAACGCGCGACGGACCTCGCGTCAAACTGCGCCTAGCGATCTCAAACGCGCGGAATTTCTCTCGCGTCGCCTGTCACTGTTTCATTTTCAATTTTGATGCCAAACTTTTTCCTAACTTTCTCGTTTCTTTTCTTTGCTTTTCAACTCTTAGTTCTCTTCTTTTTTTTTTTATTATCACCCCATCATTATGTCTTCAATCATCAAATCATGACATCATAATATTTCCCATCATCAAATAATCACGAGCCATTCTTGTAGTGCATAAAATACACATAAATTTTTTAGTTCGCTCCCAATTTCATCTTCAAAGTACCTACACATAAAATACATTCAATTAAGCATAAATATAGTATAATTTAGCATTAAAGCACCTAAATGTAACGTAAGTAATGCACTAAAAATATATAATTATAGCCAAACATCACTATCTCACACTTAAACGTTGCTCGTCCTCGAGTCAACCAACAATTCACACTATCCTTGAGCACTTTGTTTTTACACAATTGAGGCACACTACACCAATGACATGGTTTATAACAACAATTAAACTTTAGCATGTGCAATCACATACACTTCCCTTTTCTTATGCCATACTTCACTAATATTCACAACAAAGACAACATGCTCCTAACAGTCCTACCCTCAAAAACCAACTCAATGTCACAATGCACTCATGGCTTGAACACCCAACAATACCATAGAGAGAAGTTTAATAACCTTACCTATCCCTTATGAAACCATGTGCCCTTACAACAAGAACAAGAGAGTAAGTTGAATCCATACATTCAAATCAAATGCTCAAATATATTTTAAGGACTCATATATATCAAAGAAAATCTCTCTCTCTCACAAAAGAAGTCACATGCATGCAATTGACACCATAGGCTTGCCCTTAATGTAAATCTCTACTAATGTAGGTTCACTCAGTCTAAAATCAATTAGGACTTTTTTATGGTTGTAATGTGGGCTAAGGGACGGGAAGAATATATTTAGGAATAGTGGCTAACCCTCCTAGGCACTTTAACACATCACATAATCAACTGTAAGCGCAAATTCTTCAATCGCAATTTTAATTTCACAACTAAAATCATCCCTAACAACGTTACCTCTTTCTTTAAGCACTACTTTAATTCATTCCCACTAGGAAGAACAAAATATCAGTTTATTCATCTAATTTTTTTTTTCTTTCTCTTTTGCAATTTCTACTAGTGGTGTATTCTTTTACAAAACAAGTGCACCTTTCACTGGTTCCACTCAAAAGTCACCCCATACTTAGTCCCTTCTTACTCCTTTTAGCACTCATCTCACAATTAAAGTGTTTTAAGAGGTAAAAGGATCAAAACAATGTCAATTTAGAATAAAAGAGGTTTAGGCTTGTAATGTGGGAGCCAAATAAAAGTCTATAAGCTCAAAATGGTTAACTAGGGATATATTTTATTTGTGATAAGTATTAAACTAAAAAAAAATAAAGATAGCCTAAAATCATTTTTCAAACCGAGTATCACCTAAAATTTCGCTTCGACTCACATACCGGGCAAGTTCTAGACACAATTACAATACATAGACTACACAAAAATCTCACCACACATGGCACATGACTCACTAAGGACGGTTTCATTCCGACTCTCAAACTAATGCAAGTATTCACGGAGCCACGAGATGTTAAGCATTAAGCATAAAGTGAACATAAGTCAAGAAAATAAGACATAGGCGTCACAAAACATGCTATCCATATAACCAAGGCATCATAAGCACTTTTAGCACATAGGGAAGATACTACGCATGCCAAAGCCTAAATATGCTACTATCAACCAAGTCAAGGGCGCCTAGGAATCTCATCTTTCTTCCTCCATTTATTCCTTAATTTCTAATCTGCTCTAAAAAATAAAAAAAAATAAAAGGAAAAAATACTACCCGGTTCAAACTACATCCCATGGAAAAGAATCGAGGCACAAAGAAAAACTACAGGGGATTATTACTACCTAAAGAAAGCTAAAAGACATATTTTTGGATTTTTGTTTAGACTTTAATCCCTCAAGAAAACTGTCTAGGAGATCCATCGTCGGGAAAAGTCCAGTTTTTCTACCTTTTCGATTTTGTTTTTCCACATTTAAAAAAAATAAATTAAGCTACTAAAATACTACACAACTACGAAAACAAAAATACGAAGCTAAAATCAAAATAAGAAGTTAACATTTTCTAACATACTACTACATATTTTGAGGAATTCTCCCACCTCACACTTAAAGGAGTGCAGTGTACCCAATGCACAAATAAAGCAAAACAATAACGAGGGAGGACAAGAAACTCCCTGAAAGGCCAAAGGCTGAAGTAATAGCGGCTCACGGGTACTCAGACTTCCCCCAGACATGGTCCTTTGTGTGGTCACCCCACACTTTGTTCTCACCATCTAGCTCACTTTTGCACTCTTCCAATGGCTTTTCCTCCTATGCTTATAATCCTACAAAACAAAAACAGACACTACAACAATAATAAGATAAAAATAAAAATAAAAAAAAGCAGTAAAACTGGGTTGCCTCCCAACAAGCGCCCGATTTAACGTCGCGGCACGACTTGTAGCACTTTTTGTCTCCACCTTGAACTTATGAATTGTACCCCTAACAAGGCATCTAGTCTGTGGCTATGCTCCTTCGGTGGGGCTACAAAGTAAACCAGGCCAAGCAATAAAATTTTTGCTCTACACCTCTTGACCTTTAGATGAGGAATGTAATTTTTGCTTTTTGACACAACACATTCAAGAACATAGGCACCCCGTTCCTCGTCCATTGGCTCCTCCAAATGCTCAGATGACTCGATTTCCATGTCATCATCCAAACACAATGTTGAAAAATATATGGAATGAGGACCAATACGCCCCAACTCTAGAATTGTATTACTCTTTATATTCTCATATGTACACACATTGGAGTCTTCAAATATAATATTATCTACTTCCTCACATGACTCTAGAACACTCATCTCAGCATTGGCATCCTCAAGAAAAATATGGTCTAATGCTTGGTATTCTCGTTTTAGCTCCTCAATTTGGTCTAGAAGATTTTTTTCAGTTTCACACAACTCATCATTAAATTGTTGGGCGTTGAACGCATCAACCTTTGCACTCAAATCTGCATCCAAGTTGTGCAAAGCCAAGCCAAACTTGTCAAATTTTTGTGCAAGATCAACTCTCTCCTTCGACTAGTCATTCACCAACTTTGTTAGAAGATAACGTCGTTCCTCATATTTCCTTAATCGTGAATATTCGTTCCAATACCAAGCTTTACTCCCATATTCAAATTCAGACCTTCCAGAGTTCAGGTCATGACAAGCCCCAAAAGACGGGCCATAAAAATCTTCCGTCAACCAAGCGTCTTCATCAATAACCTTACCTCCGGATATTTCATCCCCAGATATCATGTTGAGAGAACAATGAACACACTAAGAGAAAGATCAAACTGTTATAAAAATAAAAAAATTTACAAAAAGAAAAAAATAAACAAAACCTATAAATATAAAAGTAAAAGTCTAATCTAGAAAAATAACTAAATAAGAAAATTAAAAACTTGAACAAAAATCAATTAAAAGTTTAACTTAGATAAACAATCAATAACTAAGTCCCCGGCAACGGCGCCAAAAACTTGTTGGTTCCCCAAGTACACGCAAGTATACGTGGCCGTCAAGTAATAAAGTGACTCGAAAGTCGGATGTCAAACCCAGAGAGGCTTAGATTAACCGTTAACTAAGCAATATAAAATCAATTTACTGCCCAAGATGATCTAAAGTTTAACTTTTCTATTACAACTACTATTGCAAAATTTAAACATGTAACCAAGGGAGATATAGATTCCAGGGTTGTGGTCGGTTTATCAATCCTATTGAATTCGTAATTATACCTGTTAATCCAAATTATCTATCATTGCTAATTGACCGGATCGTTTATATAAATAGCATGTTCCCACAATGCTATCCGTCTATCCATAATATATCAACCCTGTATTCCTATGGTCTTGAATCTATCATGAATGAATATAATATAGTATTCAACTAAGCAAGACTCTTAGGTATATTCTTATCCTAACCACGAAATCTTTCCTCGAGCCACGGGTTCAGAAACAAGCTCTCTCCAATTCTACTCTAATCTAAGTACGGATTTCCCAAGCATAGCATAGATAGTAAATAGAACTCAATTGCTGGTCAAACAATTAAGAAATTATGCACAGAATTAGAGAAACAACCAAAGATGATAAATCGAATTAACGGCAATATAATTAATAAACTTCAATATTCATGACAACCACAACCCTAAAACGTAAAGTTTAGCTCCACATAGACATAGTAGCAAAACAACAAATCATCAAGAAAAAGTAAAGATTACTAAGTTTGATGGAAAAAAGATGGAATCTAATGAATTCCGGCCTTCACGGCGTCTCCGTGCTCTCCCTTCGTCTAAAGTCTGTCCAAAATCGGTTTCTCCCTTAAAAAATGGTGTTTAATGACTATTTATATGTGTAGGGAAAAAACTTAGACGAAATAAGCAAGTCCAAAACCAAAAAGGAGACAAAATAGACTTGAGACCCGGACCACGTGTCGCCACGCAAAACGTGCGACGAACCTCGCGTCAAACAGCGCTAGCGATCTCAAACGCGCGGAATTTCTCTCGAGTCGCCTGCTGTTGTTTCGTTTTCAATTTTGCTGCCAAACGTTTGCCTAACTTTCTCGTTTCTTTTAGGCTTTTCAACTCTTAGTTCTCTTTTTTTTTTTTTTTTAATTATCACCCCATCATTATGTCTTCAATCATCAAATCATGACATCATAATATTTTCCATCATCAAATAATCACGAGCCATTCTTGTAGTGCATAAAATACACATAAATTTTTTAGTTCGCTCCCAATTTCATCTCCAAAGTACCTACACATAAAATACACTCAATTAAGCACAAATATATTATAATTTAGTATTAAAGCACCTAAATGTAAGGTAAGTAATGCACTAAAAATATATAATTATAGCCAAACGTCATAATGCAAGATAGAAAACACCTCTAATATCCTTCAGTTGCCTAGAGTTTCAAGCTTCGTAGCATTCTTATTCATAAGTTCTCAGGAATATGTAACACTCAATGCATTATTTGTTTATGCCCTTGAACTCTTTTCTTCTTTCTAATTTTCTTTTGTATTGGAAAGCAGGTGCAACTTGAACAATTTTGTGTCTCTGGGAGTAAAATAAGGGAGCTTGCTATGCCATGATCCACGAGTATGTCAATCATCGTGCTTACATAACTTTTAAAATTACAAAATCTCCTTTTCTCTCTCTTTCGCTATTCTGCTATTTCCTTTATGCTTTGCTACTTCAACAGTTGAATGAGAAGTTCAGGATGTCATCTTTCTTTAGGTGAGTGGTTCAATTCTTCTGGGCTTCTCTGGATCTATATGTTTGAATTTTCTTCTCTTTTTATCTTTATATTTCGTTCATGAATTCTGTTTTTGTTTTCTTCTGAGTTTACTTTATGCTTGCTACAATCTTCTAGCATCTACTGTGTTTGTGAAGTCAGGTAAATTTTCTTCCATGTTTCTTTATTTCTTGCGTTGTGTTCCCACTTCTGGCTTTCACTTTTAGATTTCTATGAACTTTTTGTCTATTTTTTGTTTGATGTTGGTTTCTCTGTTCTTTTAAATAATTTCTTGCAAGATTTTCTACATGCATGTCTGGTATTTTATTTGATTTTTATATGCATGTTTGGAAAGAAATACCTAGGTGCATGTCCTTAATTTCTGATTTTGGTTTTGTTCTGAGTTTAGCTGTATTAATGGGGGTTTTGGTGTAAAAATTTGTTATTTAAACGCGAAGATTGTGTCCTTTATCTACTGGTTATTCACTCTTTTTGAGTTTCTCCACTTTTCTTCTATTTGTATATGGTGTGAGATTTTTGATTGCAAAGTTACTTGTGCAAGCTGCGTTTTTCTAAATAAAAGCTGCTAAGATAAAACTTTCTTTAACTGGGGTAGTGGCGGTTTTTCACGTTACAGCCAACGTCACATTCATCGGTGAGTATTTTGATTCAAAATTCACTTATGTTTGTTTCGTGATACATTGAAGTGCTTGAATTAACCCTATACATTTTATATGTGGATGTTCGTTTTCCTGGTCCTATTCTTTTTGTCATTCTGAAAGAAAACTGTGTTAGAGTTGTTAACCAATTCCTATTGACTTCTGATTTAAAATAGAAGCTTCTGACTTTATAGCTGAATATAGTCTATAGTAGATTTCTTTAACTGGTTTCTATATTCTAAACCATATACATTATACCTTATATATGTCTCCTCAAGTTCCTATATTTTACTCTCCAGTACTTTGCATCAGTATTAAAGTAATTAAGTTACCTAATGCTTCTCTAGATACTGACTTAACATACTACTAAGTATAAAAATGACAACAGAGAACTGAAAGGAAAAAAAGACTAAGCTACCTGTTAAAAGTCCGAAAATTAGCGGAGAAGCAATGTTGGTGAAGGAACATATGCATGTGATGCATCCTTGAAAGGAGTTGTGACTCCCCAAACCTGAAAAGGCGTGACCGGCACCCGATGCCATACTCGGTCCGAGTGTACCACTCTGTAACTGTGAACTCTGGAGGGGTAACCCTCAACTTAGTCCGATGAGACCATATTCTGAATCATCTGAAAATATCGTCTCTCATTTGAAGGGTAAACATACCCAAAAGCTCATATATGTATATATAAATAACTGTGCAGGCTGACGAGGCCGCCATGAACATCTACTGATATACAAATTATACAGGATTCGTCTACAAGCCTCTAAAGATAGCTGAACTGTATCATGGTCGAGACAGGGCCTCGACCTACCCATCAAACCTGTATATATAAAATGGACTCCAAGGTCTAGACCTGGTAACTCCGAGGAAGTGCAGTTTACCAACCGAGCTGATGTTTGACTCTATCTACTATGAAGGTCTATCCAGCTGTCTATCAGGACCTGCAGGCATGAAATGCAGCATCCCCAGCAAAAAGGGACGTCAGTACGAAATAATGTACCGAGTATGTAAGGCAACAGAATAACCGAAAGCTGAAACTGAACTGATAATATAATAACTGAAAGTAACTGGGAGTCAAAGATGATCTAAAGATATGCTTACCTGTTGATACTGACTCAACTCTCTCAATATAGTAAGTAAAAATAGTTGTCCGGCCCTATAAGGCTCGGTACATATAACTGCTCTGCCGTAGTAGGCTCGACGCTCGGCCATACTAGGCTCTGTATTTCGGCCATTCTGGGCTCGCTCATAGGCGCTCGACCACAGTAGACTCGGTATATAACTTACCATCTGATCAGAGGTTGCCCAATAGGGGCCTGCC